ATGCATTCTTTTGCTATGATGAGTATATTGAATAAAAACAACGATAGTGAGAATTTTGAGTAAATTGTTGTATAATGATTAATTGGGCCAAGCTTTTTGTCATAAGCCTGTCTGTAATGGGATTCCAAATTAGATGTAATTTTTTATTTTCATTTGTTTTCGTGTATTATCTAAATTGTTAAATTCTTCGTGTTGAATTGAAAAAAGAAAATAGCAAGCAACTATACACAATATGAAGCCAATGAAGCCAAACGAAGCAGGTTAGTAGTGCTCAATCCATAAGTTAATTGACCAATTGAAACCAAATGAAGCAAACAACTTTTAAATATCCAATTGAAACAAAGTATAACTAAAAAAAGAAAAACTAAAAATGAATTTAAGGATTTTAAATATCCAATCACTATACACAAACCCAATCAAATACAACACATAATAAAAAATAAGAAACACAATATGCATTACACTATTTCTTATAATGAAAATGATGAAAATATCCCCAACACTTTTTCATTTGTTTGATCAAACAATTTCTGCTCTTTATTTATTTATTTATTTATTTATTAAACCATAACACAATCATGTTCACAAAAAAGGACTATTAACAGAGGTTTGGGGGATGGAAAAAAAGACAAAAACAAAAACAAAAAACAAAAAACAGAACAAAACAACCTAAGACGTGAAACATCCATTATCATATGAATTGCTAAGATGTGAATCGCTTACCTGTTATAGAATAAGAGGAGAGAGAAGAGGAGTCAATTCACCTGATTGTGCCAAAATCACACCACACCCATCAACATATTGCAGTTAAATCAAAAAAAAAGGAAAGATAAAATAAAATAAACATGAGACCAAAATAAGATCAATATGAAGAAATTTTCCCCCAAAATCGCTCTTCCACACACCAACAATGGTGATTAGGGAGGGGCTGCAGTGGTGGTGAAACGAAGGGGGCTCCTAATGGCTGAGGCGGTGGCTGCTCGATTGAGAATGAGGTTCAAAATTTGAAACCTGATAGGGTAATTTGTGAGCAAATTGGGCCGAGCTAGGAAGGGTCTTCTTTGAGAGTTGGACCGCGTAATGGGCCGAGATAAGGACTGGTGAAGCTCGGTCTTAGGCCAAGAAGACATCTTATATTTCGGGTTTGGGCCGAACTATGGGCTGAGGTAATTATTTATGTAGCACGGTCCTTGATCATCTAAACATCAGGTCGGTCAGAGATGGGCTACCAGTGGCCTGACCTAGCTATCCTGGGCCGAGGTATCAGTAGAAGGAGAACCGAGCTAAAGGATAGCTCTGCAGGGCGTCATCTCAAAGTCAAGACTGACAATGGTGCTTAAAGTATCATAGAGCCGGAGTAACTTGGTTGACCGCAATGTTAGCCGAGGTAAAGGTGTCAGCCGAGGTAAAGGGGTCAACCGAAATAAGTGGGTTTGGTGGTTAGCCGATGTATTGGTGAGAAAGGATGTCAGGCTTGGTATAGCTCGGCCGGTCTTGGTATAGCTCGGATGGGCGCCATCTACATCATTACCTAAGTGTGTGACTGAGGTAACTTAGCTTGGTGTGGTTGCAGCAGCTTATATAATGGAGGTAACCATCTCACTTGGTTGGTAGTGAGTAGGAGTGTGACTCCTAGGAGGACTCTATTAAGGAAAGTAAAGTCCTACTAGGATTGTGCAAACCATCTCACTTGGTTGGTAGTGAGTAGGGTGTGTGATTCTGAGAAAGACTCTTATAAGAAGAGTTGGAATCCTACTAGGATTGTGCCAAATGAAGTCTATAAAAGCTCATGACTAAACCTATGTGCAAGTATCCCAATTCTCACTCTAGAATACACAGAGCTTATTGTCTATTGTCTTGTTGCTGACTTAGGCATCGGAGGGGTTTCCGGCACACACCCGCCGGCTAGCTTACGTTTGTGTTTTCAGGAAGTAAAGCGACGACGTTTGGTGGAGGGCAAACTTGATCAACATGATCATACGAGAAGAATTATTTCGTGCTCATACAAAACCTTTGGAATTGAGAGAGAGAGAGAGAAAGAGAAGCATGGGTGGGAAAAGTGAGAGGCTCTATAAGAGTGAGAGATAAGACAAAAGTCCTCTATCAAGTAATCAAATAATCTCAACCCTCCATTCTTAAAACCAAACAATCTTAACCATCCACCTAGACAAAAATCCCAAACCCCCTTCCCTTGTTATATAGATTTATTGTAAATAAATATAGAGTTTTGTTAACAAGAGCGCACTTGTTAAGAATGTAATAAATGATATTAACTAAACTCACTACTATGGAAAATAGAGGAAGTTATAAATGTACAACATAAAAATATAGATGCTGATAAGACCAAGCTACCATTTTATGTATTTCTTTCTATTTTATCTTTTATCTACTTTCTTTTTTGTTTTCATTTCCTACCCAGATATTCTTTCATGAATTAATATGTTAGATAAATATTTACCAAAAATGTAAAATACCAACAAAATTCTTTTCAGCCCCTTAATAAAGTGGTAAAAAATGAGGAACATAATAAAATATTAAAGAGTCATAAAGAAATATTTATAAGTGAGCTCTTTAAATATTTAAATATTATTTATAATTTTTGAATTTTTTATATAAAATTAATATTTATTGCTTTCATGATAAAAAAAAATATTGTAAAAAGATATAATATTAATGCATTTTTTTGCATATTTATATATATATATATATAGACATTTTTATACATTTTAACACTATTTTACACGTTTATATTAATATTTAATTTTAAATATGTAAAAAAAATGCATTAATATTCTAATATTATTGTGTATTTCACCATTTACTAAATTTATTCAATATATTAATTCATGAAAGAATATCCGGGTAGGAAATAAAAAGTTTTAAAAAAACTGATACAAAAGACAAAGGGTGAATTACACTGACACCCCTGAAATTTTTGTTTAATATAGATTTTCCCCTTATGTTTGAAAAATTACATTTTCCTCCCTGAGATTTGTAATCTCGTTACAAATTACTCCTCGATTGCTAATGTTATATGCTCTAAATTGTTTTAAATACGTAACCATTTTGCCCTTTTCCTACCATTTCTTCTTTCTATCATCGTGACTGCAATCTACAACTTTTCATCATTAAATTCTACCTGAACTTATTCTTAGTGAGTGATGATATTCAAACATAAATTTTATATAAAATTTTCAAAAACAATGATATAACTTAATAATAACCTTTCACTTTAAAAGAAAACACTCATAAACATAATTTATATTTACAACATCACTATCACAATATTTTTATGATATTTTTTGTATAAATTTTTATATATTAATAGAATTTTTTATTTTTATTTCCACCATAATTTTTCTTTCTCATCTCACCCACATTTATTACAGTATTATCAAACACCATCATTCACATTTATTACAATATTACTAAATTTTTACATTTTTATATTTTTTTTTTTGTATTTGGTGAATTTTAAAAAAAATACAAAATATTATACTTCTTAAGTATATCTAAATTAGATGTATCTAAAAAAAATTTAAAAATATGTTTAAAAAATTCAGTAAAAATAAAAAAACACGAAAAATAAAAAAAATCAATTTTTTTGTGAGTTAAACCAAAGAAAATTATTGTTATTTCTCTTGAAATGACATGAACAAAATATCAGTATTATTTTATTATTTTATATGTACAAAAGGTAAGGGACACATGTCATTTTAACTTGATAGGGGGTAAGTCTAATTTTTCAAATGTGAGCAGAGGATCTGTATTAAAAAAAAATCTTAGGGGGTGTCAGTGTAATTTACCCAAAGATAAAATAGAAAGACATACATCAAAGGGTAGTTTGGTCTTATAAAAAAAACTTACGTTTTTGTGTTATACATTTATAACTTTCTCTATTTTCTATAGTAATGGTGTGTGTTAGTAGTATTTATTGCATTTTTGGAACACTTTGTTAACAAAATTCATAAATATAATCATCAATGAGTCGGATTGTTTTATACCACCAGAATAAGTCACCAAAACGCTTGGTCTCCAATGTAGTTTTTAATGGGCAACGATGGGCATATGTTCTATGACACACATAGTAGGCAAAATAAAACAGTAAAATATATCTGTGATAAATACCATTTTTCCCAGTGAATTAATGTATAAAAAACCACACACCAATTGTATCAGTTAAAATCCCAATTTATAAATACATATGAATTGTGAGAAGGAAAACATCTAAATAACATATATATATAACCAATAAAAAACGAAGTTGAGAAGCACAGAAAAACACTTTCCTTATCTTCCATTTCATGAACTTGAAACAGATAAATCAACCAGCCAATCAGTTCCAACACCCAGTTTCACTACTTTTGACTTCACTATTTTTCCCTTCTTCCTTTTGTCCAAGATGTTGCTTTCACAAAAATCCTAAATATTTAAGTGTGAAAGGAAATGTTGTTTTTATTGGACCATAGTTGAAAGAACCACCAAATATACCCTGTGACAGGCACATTTCAACAATTAAAAGTAATAACTCAATGCACGAGACTTCTATCAAAGTAGGCCTAGGGAGGACAAACGAACGTAACCTCACCCACCCATGCCTAAAGAGATTGTTTTCATGACTCAAACTTGCGCCACTGAGAACGCTAACAGTAAGCCCCATTGTTAAGCCAAACCACCCTTTTGCATGTTGTAACAATTACTATGCAAATACTTGTAAGGAAAATTACAAGGCCAAAAAAATAAATAAGGGTTATATGAATTCCTTTTTCAAAAGACTTATGTTTGGTTCATAGGAATAAAATCATCTTTCATTTAGAATATTCATTCCCACCTTCGGTTCACTAAAGAAAGTCAAGAAAAATGTATTGCAATTGGAGTCATCATTGTAAGAGAATGATCATTTCGTAAAAAGGCTTAGGAATAAACATTCTATTCCACTCCACATTCATTCCAGTGAACTACACACCACCTATGCCATTCACATGTGAAGAAATACCACATAAGAAATTTGTAATTATATATCCAAGCAGCTCGATGCTGTAACTTCCAAATTGCATCCACAATTCATGAGGTTCAAAAAACAAAGGGGCAAAAATCACAACAAGCCTAAACAATAGCAGCAGCAAACAATGCTGGTAGTAAGGTATGACACACCAAAACTGGTATGACAATAAAGCAGCACGCCGGAATCACTTCCATTTCTTGAACTTCCCCCCGTGGTGATGATGGCCATGGTGATGATGGCCAATTTTCCCATGTTTGAATTTCCCGTGCCCATGGTGATGATGGCCATGTGACAGGTGATGATGGCCATGTGATAGATGATGGTTGCCATGTGACGGATGATGAGCGCCATGTAACAGATGATGAGCTCCATAAGCAGCAGTCGCAGCAGCAGCCCCCCCAGCTATCAGTGTTCCCATACCAGGTCCTCCATGCCCTGTATATATTATTAACGACAGAAATAACATATTATCAACAAAGGGAAAAAATAATAATAATAAAAGCCTAGTGCTACAATTGAACAAACAGCATTGCAAGCCTGCCTGCTTAGGGATCATCATTACCTTGCTTTTATATTAAATTGCAAACTAGTAGATGTAAATAGGAGGCAGAGAAATGAAAAATTAACAAAAAAAAGAAAGTTCAATAATCAGACGTGAACCATTGAATTCTTAATAATAAAAGCCTAGTGTCACAATTGAACAAACAGCTTTGCAAGCCTGCCTGCTTAGGGATCATCATTACCTTGCTTTTAGCAAACTAGTAGATGTAAATAGGAGGCAGAGAAATGAAAAATTAACAAAAAAAAGAAAGTTCAATAATCAGACGTGAACCATTGAATTCTCTCTTTTTTTTCTTTTTTTCAACCTCCCTGAGAGAGAATTAGAGACAGACCGTCAAATTTTACAGTATTTCAAATTAGAATATCCTAGTTTAGTCCCCTTTACTGCTGGGATGAAAGGGAATTCTAAAACCTTTTTGGTGCCAATATCCATTAAAAAAAAAAATTAATTTTGCTTCTGATTAAAGCCTGCTAGGTGATAACACGCACTAGATAGTTCTTGGTTGTATGAGTTCCTTGTTCTGGATTCAAAAACACTGAATAGACACAAACTAATCAAAGGTTTTAGGAGCACCTGCTTTCTTCTGCCAAGTGCCAACCACTATTGTTCAAGCATTTCTTGCAGGTGGTGACCAATCACCTTTAACACACCCAACGACTCTGAAGTTTTTTAACAGCAAATTTTTGAATAGAAATAAAAATCACCAATATTTGAAAGCCCTGAGTAGGTCATCACATTTGGATGAAAGCCTTTGCAAGCGGCCTATAATGGACCTAATTTCACTACTATTCTTAGGGGTGAGCATGATTTGGATCAATTTGGGATGAAACAAGGACCAGTTCCATAAGAATTGGAACCAAACCAAACCAAACCATTGAAACACAGTTCGGTTCGGTTTGGAACCACGGTTTCATATAATCTGTTCACAAGAAAAATCATATAACATTTTCAAAAAAAGACAACCTCTCATAAATTTTAAAAATAATAATAACATGTCAATCAAACAAACTATTCTCACAATATTCACCAGATAAGCAAAACCATAACATTAAGCAAATATTGTTTAACATTAATCTGTTATGATTTTTAGAAACATAAACTTTCAAAACATAAATATGCATGTTAACCTAAGCAAACATAGGTGGTGTTTGGGAAGCTTGGGACTTGGGTTTTTTTTGATTTTTTTCACAAAAAGACAAACTTTTTGCCAAAAAAAAAAAAAAAACACATCCAAACAAAATATCACATCCAACCCCATAATCATTTCACTTTTTCTCTCACAAACATCACATCCAACAACAAAAAAACCCAACTATCTTCCCAAACACAAAAAAAAAAATTCTCCAATAATATCCTACAACTAAAAAAACGACCTACATAAAAACTCACTTCCCAAACACCTACATAATATCTATCAAATAAATATATATGATTTAAGTTATACGGTCTGGTTCGGCTCCAATCCAGAACCGATCCGTGGAGACCGGTTTCTCAATTTTTCAAACTAGGACCGAACCACGAAATAAAAAACCAAACCAAACCTACCGGATTGGTCTGAACTAGTTCAGTTTGCATATTTTTCAGATTCCTTGCTCAACCCTAACTATTCTATTTAAATGACATGATCAGAGAAAATAAAAACTGAACATACCATGCCCACTCCCCTCATCACAACAAAAAAGCAAGAAAGGCCTATGAGGTCCTTCACAAGTGAAGCGCTAACAACCAAATGAAAAACATATCCTAATATTGGAGGACAAATCAAATAACAACACACGGCAAGAAAAGCCAATAATAAGGTCCCTCCTGAGTGAAGCAATGACAATCTATTGACGAACATATCTAAAAACAGATAAGGATGTCAAATTTATATCCTAAAAACAAAAATGCATCAAACATACCTGAATTATGTGAAGCCGATGGACTAGGATAACCTACTTGTGGATATCCACTTGGGGAAGGATATGGTGATGGTGGGTATCCACCTGGGGGAGGATATCCAGCTGAAGGGTAACCACCTGAGGGAGGATATCCAGCTGGAGGGTAACCGCTAGGGGGAGGGTATCCAGCCTGTGGGTAACCTTGAGGGGGATATGCCTGAGGAGGGTATCCTTGGGGAGGGTATGCCTGAGGAGGGTATCCTTGGGGAGGGTATGCCCCAGGAGGCGGAGGGTACTGTCCACCAGGATAACCGGAATGATTGTGCTTCCCACTCATTCTTCTTCAACTTGAAATTGATGAACTGAGAATGTAAACACTGGACATTAGAACATACAAGAATTTTTTGGAGTGAAAAGAACAAAAGCACCACATGTATCATATGTGACCATAATGTAATAGCATTTGCTTTATTCGGACAATCATAGAACTCCATCACAATTTTCTCTACTTTAAAATAAATTCCCCTTAGTCAAGAACTAAGTTCCTCTGGAATCTAGAAGTAATAAGCTATAATTAAAGCAAACCCATAAAATTTTACCGAAAAATCTGGAAAACACTAGAGTCAAAGTCGATAGGGCTAATAACATCCCGAAATCAAGAAAATTCACAATGACTAACAATTCTTGTGCATCATTTTGAATTCTAAACATGTAAAACAGACTAACCAAAGTGGATCTAAATCAGGCATTTGAGATAGTTCTAATCAAATTACAAGTAAAGGCTTAGAGTAACAATAGAAAAAAGTTGAAAAACTGTTTGGTAATCATTTAAAGACAGATTTATCTTCTGAAAAATGGAAAAGTGATAGTGAAACAGAAAACATAATTGGGGTGTTGGGGGTTTAGAGAACAGTGTTTACAAAAAAAAGTCAACTGTCAAAGAACTTTTCAAAACAACTTCTACAAGCTAATGAAAGTTGTGATCAATGAATGTCTAATACACACTTCCACGCAATATATAATTATTACTGATTAATTTTGAAAGAACATAACCATGATGAAACAAACTGAAATTAAATACAAGAACAAGCAATAAATTAAAAATCCTCCACAGAAACAGCAAAGAAATCATGATTTACTTTTTACATTACTACTAAATTCGAAGCAACAAGAACAAGCAAAGACAAGAAAATCAAGAATCCTAGGCAACAAACAAGTAAGAAGATCAGGATTCACTTTTTCATTAAATCAAGAGATTTTGTATGTACAAATATATATATATATATATATGTATGTATGTATGTATGTATGTATAGAGAGAGAGAGAGAGAGAGAGAGAGAGAGAGAGAGAGAGCGAGAGAATATGGGTTTCTTCAACGAAGGAATTTGACTAATTAGGTGAGAGAAACTTTTGGTACCATAGAAACAAGCCACAAGATTTTGAATTGCCTCGAAAAATTGAGAAATGAGTTAGCAAATCGGAGAAAGTTGGTTCCTAATTGATCAGAAGAAACTGATGGTGAAGAAAAAATCAAAAAGATTGATGTTTCATTGTGGAACTTCTGTCATAGCCATTGCTTCCGCCATAGCCTAATCTCTCTCTCTTTCTCTCTCTCTCTCTCTCTCTCTATGTCAAAATCTGTGTGTCTTTAGTTGTAATCTTACGGTATTTTCTCTGTGATGTGTCCAGAGAAATTTGGTGTCTGTTGGCTTCTTTTTCCAACGAAGAAAAATATCATAAATGTGAGCATACCAGCTAGGATTGAAACAGATTAAATTCAAGCCAATTATCAAGCAATTGTGTTGACGGTTCTTTTGTCTCAACGAAGAGGACTTCAAAATTGCCAATTATAGAGTAAAGAAAATTAAAAAGAAGAAGGAGGGAGATAGAGAAAGAGAAAAGAAAAGAAATGATTACTTAAGTTATAAGAAAAGAAAAAAAAAAGAAATGATTGTGATTTCTCTCATTTTTGTTTGGATAAGGAATAAATAAAAGAAAAGAAATGATTGTGATTTCTCTTATTCTTGTTTGGTTAAATTTCATTAAAAGCAAAGAAAAGAAATTATTTTATATTATATTACTAAAATAATCTTTTTATATTTTCAATCATTTTATTTCTTTTATTTTTATAGGGACAAAATTGGTATTATGAAAATAGTAGTTTCTTTTCTCTCCAATCTCTCTACTTTTGGAAAGATTGAAAATGAGGCTCATAAGAGAAATGAGTTTCTCTCCATTTCTCTCCATTTATTCTCATTTCTCTCCACTTAGATTATCCAAACAAGTAAGAGAAATATATATCTCTCCATTTCTTTTCTTTTCTCTCCAAATCACTCAATCCAAACATAACGTAAGGAATTAATAATCACAATTCCTTTTTCATAACCCCAAACAAATGGGTCCATACAATCTTACGTTATTTGATCACTGACTTCTGTTTGTGATAAAACATATTTAATGAAATTATTTGATGAAAAAAATAAATTAATTTTTATTTTTTATTTCACTATATCGGAAAAGTCAGTAACATTAAAAATTTACCGAAAAAGCTATTAGCGGTGGCAGGTGTACCAGACAGCAACAATAATGATGGTGAAAATATGGATAGATATACGTATTGTTTGATAATATTATTTTTTAATTTAAAAGTTAAAAAAATATTTAAAAAATTAAAAAAATAATAATTTATATTAGAAAGTGAAATATTTTTTTTACTCTCTACTTTTTATATATCTTTTCATAAAAAATTAAAAAATCCTCTCAAATATATTAATTTTTTTATATTATATTTTAGTAAAAAATAAAAAAAAAATACTAAAACACAAGTTCCTAAACAAGGCTTAAATGGATAAATATGTGATATATAAACAAATATTAGGATGGCGTGTGGATAGTGAACATAAGGACGGATACTTAGGGATGAAATCAACTTTTAAATTATAATTATCCATTTGATCTCCAAATAATAGAACTTGCACATATTAGTCTAAAGTTTTAGAAATAGACATTCGACTTGTATTCTATCATTTTTAAAGGGGAAAATTGGTCTAGGGTCCCTCTCCCACTTTTCATAATGGGAGAGATCCACAAAATTATTTTTTGATGTCTAAGGTCCCTAAACATATCACAGAGAAATTTGACCTTACCAAATCAAAACTCATCTCTCACTTTCTCTCTCTAAACTTCTCCATTCTCATACCTGTCCAGATCAACTCTTGTGTCCTCAGCTCTGACTTCATTCTCCAACCGATTGAACTCCACCTTCACCGGATCCGACCTTCAATGGCGTCGCCGAGCCGTCTGAGGAGCGGCGATCCAAAGGCGTTGATATTGGACACTGGTGGTGTTGTTGTTGCTGCAGATCTGCAAACTACACTACATTGTGCCCCAACGTATATAGATCACAAAGGCACATCTTCACCCATAGTTTGGCAGCTAAGATTTACAGATAGATGGAGATTTGTCAGGCTATGAAGTGTTCAATCATTCTTGTAAACTAATGTCGGGTATTCTGGAGCCCATCCACCCATTCTCGTTCCCGGGCATCGGATTCACCTCGGTCGGTGGATTTTCCGGGTTTCGCATTCCAGCACGAATTTAGGGTGAAGATGAGGAGCACGACGGCATTTCCGACAAGTCGTCCTCTGCTTTCTCTGATTCATACCATTGATTTGAGCTCCAAAACCAAATCAATCTCTCTCTCTATCAGGTGAATATTTAATACTCATTTCTCTATTTCATTCAATTTTTCATGTATAGTCTATTGTTACATTGAATTTATGTTTCAATACTCAATCATCAACCCATTGGAGCAACCAAGAATCAGCTATTATCACTGTTTCAGAGAGAGAGAGAAAAAGAGTTTGGTTAGTTTAATCCAATGGCTGCTCGTTACTGTGGGAAGAAGAAATCTGAGTGTGTTTTCAGGTTTTCCAATCCCGGTGTGCTTTCTATTTTGATTTTTTTAAAAGTGTGCACACAAACTGATTCTTATATATACATCCAACCTAGAGAAAATTCAAATTTCTCTGGGTTCAACGCAGAGAAAATTCAGCATCATCATACAAGCCTTGAGCCTTTGTATTTTCCCATCCTGCCATAAAACATCAATATCAGTTCCAGAGAAATTCAAAATTTCTTTGGAGATAAATTCAGAACTTCTCTGGATTTCTCTACTACTCTGTTCTCTCTCTCTCTCTCTCTAATTTTATAAACACACTTGTGTGCTTGTTTTTATGGACTTTGTTCTGGTATTGTCATAATCAATTTAGTGGGTATGTCAGTGAATGAGAGTGAGAGTGGAGGCAATGGTTCATGGTTGATAAATTCTGAAGTCGGAGACCAAACACATGCACAAGTGAAGGAGGTTAAAATAGGTTTTTTTTCTTTTTCTGTTTTTAAAAATTCTCCACCTTCTTAGTAGTAGAATTTCTCAAATTTCTCTGGATTCAACCCAGAGAAATTTGAATTTTCTCTGGATTCAAGCTTCCAAGAGTTTTTGGCAATGGAACTGAATTTTCTCTGAGTTGAGAATTTTCTCTGGATTCAACCCAGAGAAAATTCAAATTTCTCTGGGTTGAATCCAGAGAAATTTGAGAAATTCTACTACTAAGAAGGTGAAGAATTTTTATTAACAGAAAAAGAAAAAAAACCTATTTTAACCTCCTTCACTTGTGCATGTGTTTGGTCTCCGACTTCAGAATTTATCAACCATGAACCATTGCCTCCACTCTCACTCTCATTCACTGACATACCCACTAAATTGATTATGACAATACCAGAACAAATTCCATAAAAACAAGCACACAAGTGTGTTTATAAAATTAGAGAGAGGGAGAGAGAACAGAGTAGTAGAGAAATCCAGAGAAGTTCTGAATTTATCTCCAAAGAAATTTTGAATTTCTCTGGAACTGATATTGATGTTTTATGGCAGGATGGGAAAATACAAAGGCTCAAGGCTTGTATGATGATGCTGAATTTTCTCTGCGTTGAACCCAGAGAAATTTGAATTTTCTCTAGGTTGGATGTATATATAAGAATCAGTTTGTGTGCACACTTTTAAAAAAATCAAAATAGAAAGCACACCGGGATTGAAAAACCTGAAAACACACTCAGATTTCTTCTTCCCACAGTAACGAGCAGCCATTGGATTAAACTAACCAAACTCTTTTTCTCTCTCTCTCTGAATAAGTTGTAAGGCTCTAGTGCTATGCCAATGTAATAAAACGATTACGGGGCGCTCCACGGTTTAGAACGTGGCGAGAGATTCTTAGACCACTTAGACCCATTATTCAGATAATCAGAATTCCAATAACTTTAAGAAGAACTTTCTACTTCACTCATAAAAGAATACATCTCACTAGTGCATCTTGTCTTTTTTCCTGAGCAGCGAGCATAAAAGTCTTATACACTCTATGATGTTCTTAGGTTGGAGTATCAGTACTAGCCTCTTTAAAATTTTAGTTAAATTATAATTTAAAAAGTTATTTTTCTATTTTAGTTAGTTACCTCACTGCATCAAACTCTCTATTTTAACTCAATTCTATTAAAATATTTGTTATTATTTTTTTTATAATTAAATTGATGAGTTATGAACCAAACAACTCTTTTGTTTTACAAAATGTAAAACTAGAGGAAATGTAAAAAAAAAATGCCGTTGATCGGTTGGCTGGCCGGACTTCTGGGTGGACGTCCAGTA